CTTTTTTTTTTTTTATCCTCACCCGAGGACATTTTTCCATTTTTTTGTTCAGGTAGAGTGGGAGGGAGAGAGAGGAACAGAGAGAGAGAGAGAAACATCAATATGAAAGGAACACATCGAGTGGCTGCCACCCGCACAACTGACCAGGGCCGGGGACAAACTGCAACCGAGGTACGCGCCCTTAGCGGGAACTGAACCCGGGTCTCTCAGGACCGCAGGTCGACGCTCTAACTGCTGAGCCAAACCGGCCAGGGCAAAACTCATGTTTCTTAAGAAACATTTACTTCACTTCAAAGTGAAATACTGAAAAAGGTAACAATATTTTCCAAGTCCTTGAACTCTTACCTCATTAGACATTATAGAATAGCATCTCTCTTGTGTACATAGGCATTCACCACGCTTAGAGTAGTCAAATACTTCTAAAATTTTGTTTTAGAATCTACAACATCCACAAAACTACAAGATATCTGGCAACTACTTTCTGAGTCCTAGGAATAGTGAAGTTATACATAAAATAAGAGAACTAAAATTAGCCATCATATTTATTCCAACACACAGTCCAAGACAAGATGACCAAACCGTGATGGAATCATTTTCACTAAGTCAGCAAACAACGTGATTTTATAGAAACAACCTCAGCTTGCTGATAAAATGAAATGGACCAGTGCTTGTTCTGGAGGTATTAATACGAGGACCAGCTCAGGGATCAAGCCTTCCAAGTGTGGTGGCAGTAGCTTTCAGAAGTCTCCCCAACCAGGGAGAACACTATCTCTGTTCTGGAAAACAATGACTTTGGCTCTTTATAAGGTGTCTCTGAAGATCACACCGGTTTTGTTCCAGGTGACAGCATTTAAGAGGTCTTCAGAGAGGTGTTAGTAAGGGATGATTATGTCTCTTTAAGGGGGAAGAAAGATTAACACCTTTGCTAATCTCCTAAACAGTTCTCTACCAAAACAATCTAATCAAGAAACACTAATTATACAACAAACCAACTCTCTCATGCTGTCTTTGTTTCTAAATAACTGGACTTCAAGAGCTTTTATTGTTGCTTTACAAAACAATAGAAAGGATTATTTTATTAGTTAATGACTTTAGCAAATGTCCAGAAACTTGGAAATATTTTACCTCTGTTTACCTTTGAAATGTTTTAATGGCCCTGGCCGGTTTGGCTCAGCGGTTAGAGCGTCGGCCTGCGGTCCTGAAATGTTTTAATGATGTTTGATATGTAAGAATTGATTTATTGGTAATATATTTTAACATAAAAACACCTTGGCAACTACTCTGTTTTTCTTTTACCTATCTGGATATGTTTATTATTATTATTATTTTTAACAAACACTAGTGAGATCTAGGGCCAGGTTGGAGAATTGGACTTTGGACTGAGACTGCATTAAAACTCCTTGGTCCATTGGGCAAACGAACCCACAAGCACGTCCTGTCAGATTTACTTGGAGAAGATATTAATGAGAATACTAGTAACTTTGAAAATAATATTTAGTAATATTTAAATAAATAAAATTATAGTATTAGCTACCATAGCTCAGCATTCTTTTCTAATGTGTATTAGTTAAAATATTAACATATATCACATGTCATTTGTTCCAGATATAGTAATTGTAATTTCTCAGATTAGTATTTTTATTTATACACACACACACACACTCACACCTGCATGTATATATATACATATTTGTATTTATTCATAAATATTCATTAAGCACCATGATGTGTTAAGGCCATATTCTAGCCCAGTGAAGGATACGATAATGAAAAAGGAGGCCTGGTGCCTGGACTCAAGGAATTAAAATATGAGAGAGGAAGTGTTGCAGAAAAAGGTAATATCAATCACATGCAGGTTACAAAGGTCAGTGACTGGATACATTTACTGATTTTAGCAAGAGAAGGAGGGGGAGAAAGAGACATGAGAGAGAAGCATCAATGGGTTGCCTCCTGGGATCGAACCTGAAACGTAGATATGTGCCTGACTGAGAAGCAAACTCTTGCCCTGTCCTCAGAAATATTTGACTCTCTCTATAAAATCACTGCCCTGTCCTGCCACGGCCTTGACCTCACAAATATTTTTAACATCTTGCTAAAGGTTAACATTCAAAATAGACAGCAGTGTGCTCCCAGCTCTGTGAATCCCTCTGTGCTGTGAGACTCATTCAGGTCCTCCATGGAGGTGGAGTTCTCAGGGGGCGAGGCAGTGATGGAGGGATGGGTTTTGGGGGGATGCTGGCCAGCTGGTCCAGCCATGGCAGCAGCACAGCCAAGCGAAGTGTTGCATGGAGCCAGATTTAAAATAGTGGCGGAAGAGGAGGTCGTCATTTTGAATAATAGAAAATATATTAAAACAAACATTAAATTAAGTCTTCCAAGCATAAACATGCAACATCGATTTATTTAAATAATTTGAGGTAATTAAATTACAGCTATAGTTTATTTATAACTACAAATACCTACAAAACGATTTTTTTAGTTACTTTAAAGGTACGTATTCAGCAGTATATTTTTATAAATATCCCTTTTCTTTTTCGGAGCAGTTCATTTTCACTAGCAAAATATTGCACAATATTAAAAAAAAGAGAGAGATAATAAGTTTTAAAACTCACAGCAACATATTATTACTATAGATAAAAACAAGGAGTTTAGACCTCCAGAGATGTTCCTGTACAAATTTTGGCTGTGTTTATGTATATGAATATATTGAATAGTCCAATAATTCATATTTACATACTGCATTACAATGTAACTATTAAAGCATTTTCTTATTTTAGGTTTCTTTGTGATATCCCACTGTGGGATATTTTCAGATAATAAATTACTTGTTGGAAACTTAGTAATAAAATTTGAAACCATCCGGGCGGAGTTGTCTCACTGGTTGAGTGTTCACCCATGCACCAGAGGTCACTGGTTTGATTCCGGGTCAGGGCACATGACCAGGTTGTGGGCCTGATCCCCAGTGGGGAGCATGCAGGAGGCGGCCAATCAATGTTCTCTCTCATCAATGTTTCTATCTCTCTATTCCTCTCCCTTCCTGTCTCTCTAAAATCAATGAAAAAAAATTCAAAACAAATTTTGAAACAGAGGTCGGAAGTGGATTTTTTGTTAATTTATGAAGCCTGATACTGTATAAAAAAAAAAAAAAAAGAATTAATCACTTCAGTCATAATATCCTGATGGCCTGTTGGAGTTTTATCAGATTGCTTTCACAATATCATCTTTATTTGTTTTTCCATATTCTAGCTCTCTAAACATATGGCTAACTATAGTCATTCACATTTTGATCTCAAATGTGACTTTGATCTCTGAAGACAGGAGAGAAATTGAGCAGGGCAGAAACAATTTAAATAGGACTGAAGATGAAAGAATTTCAGATTCTAGACCATAGGGAAAGCCTGAAATTAGCACCGAAGGGAAGGACCAAATACCATGTTGAAATAAAGTCAGATGTGGAAGCGGGAATGGGAGTAAAATGTGGAAAAATTTGCCATGTGGATATTCTTTAAAAATCAGTGCCAAGGTTGAACCAAAAAGGAGGATGGAGTTAAATAGATTCTTTCTGGAGATTCTAAAGTCCCTCTTTCTGTTGGTCTTCCCCCTGCAGAAGCCGAATCCAGGTGGAGCCTAGGAATCCCTATTGAAAGGGCTCTCAAAAGCCAGGATCCTTCTGTGTGGAGGCCTTTGAAGTTGTCTGGACTGGGAAAAGCTCAGAAGGTTACAGCTGCCTGCAGATACCCAGGGCCCAGAGATCACAGAAACCCTGACCCGACTGGGTGGGTGTTCCTACAAGCATCAGTGGGACCAATTATACAATTCTTAGGTAAGCACATATTTGTTAAGATGCATACTTCTTTTCTTCAAACATAAAAACACACTTATTATTATTTTAACTGTCAGCAGGCGTAACACCATCCTAAGAAAATAGAATTTATCTAGTTAATAAAACATTATATAATTATTTGTAGTTTACTCAAGCTATAGAATTTCCACCTGTTATTGTTTTGACATTTACAAATTTACATAATTCTTTTTTATTTTGTGCTCCCTGTGCATACAAATTGTGATGTCTAGAGAAAGACGTCTAGATTTTTGTGTAGTTTCATATTTGGCATGAAATCTAAAGCTTAATTGGCAAAACGTGTAGAACAGCAAAAGTGACAGGTTTTAAAAATCAATCAAGGACACAGAAAAGTTAAATAAAATGGTAAATATTCTACATTCTCATTTGATCCTTGATATTTGAAGGGAAAATCAATATAATTCATTAGAAAGCATTCATTCCCCTGCACTCCAGGTAATCCTATCAATTAATAATTTACTCCAGATTCAGGATTCAGATAAAAAGACCATAGTGAAATGTATGTCTCCATAGATTGTTTCACTTTATTTCTAGCTCATGTCTTCCGTCAAGGACACCTGAGCTGCACTTAGAAGGTGGCCACCCTCGATGCACTAGAGAGCCACAGTCCTTCCCCTTTTCGACAATTCCCTTTTCTTTTTCTTTAATCCTCACCCAGGGATAGTTTTACATTTATCTTCAGATAGAAACAGAGGTTGGGGGGGAATGAAGAGAGAGAGACAGAGAGACAGAGAAACATCAGTGTGAAAGAGGCACATTGACTGGTTGTCTCCCACACAACACCAACCAGGACCAGGGACAAACCAAAGAGGTACGTGTGCTGGATCAGAATCAAAGACAGGTCCTAGTGAGATCTGGCAGAGGGCAAACTACAGTGAAAGATGATGTGACGATTCTGGAACGTGAAATATAGCATACGTATGGTAAACATAAGTTTCACCTCAGAGGTGGACAGTTTGTCATTTATTTAGTTAAGGCATTTAGAGGAACATGTCCCAAGTGGGTTGTGATTTTCTCATTCATTCTTCTCTTTCTCCTCAGAAATATAGAACACACACACTGCAAAACTTCCAAAATAGATTACCTGCTAAGTCTTAAGAGTGAAGATTTTAAAGTTACTGCTGTGGTGTCTGCATAGCTGGGACCTTGTAAGTGGCCCAAAGACCTGGAAATGGCATTGACAAATGGACAAGCCCAGTGGCCCAAAGAAGACATTATGATGTTACTGGACCTCCTGGAGAATAATCTTCCATCCAATGATAGCCACACATTCAAAACAACCCAGTCACATATGGACTGGGAAAAAGTCGCTTTTAAACATTATTCTGGAGAAATGTGCAAACTCAAATGGTTAGAGATTTCTAGTAAGATAAGAAAGTTTCGGACTTTGACAGAACTAGTCCTGGAAGCTAAGAAAGATGTTAAAAATCTTTACAAAAGTAGAAAACTCAAGAAACATCCAGACATGCCCAAGCAGCCCTTGACTGCTTACCTCCGTTTCTACAAGGAGAAGCGGCTCCTGTACTCCCAAAAGCACCCTGAGCTGAACAACCCAGAGCTGACCAAGGTCCTGTCTAAGAAATACAAGGAGCTCCCAGAGCAGATGAAGCTGAAATATATTCAGGATTTCCAGAAGGAGAAACAGGAGTTTAAGGAGAAGCTGGCTCAATTCAGTAAGGACCACCCTGATCAAGTCCAGAACTCCAAGACATCAGCTGTCCCCAAAAGGAGCCCAACCAAAGCCCAAAAGAAGTTTGGGGGAAACGTTATGGAAATGAAATCTCCCCCAGTAAACTGTATTCCTGAGTTGAAATTCTATGGAGAGCTCAAGAAGCCCCCAATGAACGCATACCACAAGTTCCACGAGGATGTGTGGTCCAGTGGGGAGCTGCAAGGCCTGCCCCCGAGGGAGCGCATGGTGGAGATTGGCAGACGCTGGCAGCGCATCCCACCCAGCCGGAAGGAGCAGTATAAGAAGCAGGCTGAGGAGCTGCAGAAACAGTACAAGGTGGACCTGGAGCACTGGCTCAAGAGTCTGTCTCCTGAAGACTATGCTACTTACAGAGAGAGAACCTGTGCTAAGCGTAAGAACATGATCATGAATGGAGGCCCAGAGCCCAAGGTCATCAGGACAGAGGTGCAGTCTCCATCAGCAAGGACTCTGCAAGAAGGCCTTGCACAGGAGCAGGGGCTGCAGGCTCCAGAGACAGAATCACCAGAGACTATTGGGGACCATGCTCATGCCTCATGTGTATCAGAAGAAAATAAGGACGATGGGGAAAAGGCAGAAGGCAGTAGCTCCTCAGACTCCAGCAGTGGGGATGAAGATGAAGAGAGTGAGGACAGCAGCTCCTGCTCATGTTCCTCAAGTGACACCTCCGACTCAGATTCCCACTGAGCTTTGTTCATTTCTAAATGGTGGGGCAGAGAACTTCCCAACAAACTTCCATGGCATGTATGTGCAACTGAAGGGCTCTCCTCCCTGTCCCTTTTCATTTCTTTGCTTGTTCCTTCATTTCCCCTACTTCTCCTCAATACAAAGGAGAACATTTGGGAAGAAGGGAATTTGGGACAGTGCTGTCCATATCAGGCCCATAAACCTGGGAGGAGAGGCTCCTGCTGGGAGAAGAAATATAAGTATTAGGCTGTGTAGGGTCCCCCTACACCATCCTGCTTCCTCTAGGACCTCTGTGCATTTAAAGCTCTTGAAACAAACAGTGTGATGCTTGGTCTGTGGGGGACACACTGCAATAGATGGAATATTTCTGAAGTCAATTTTGCTTTCCTCATGTTCTGTCTGCCAGAGGTGGTTTGATCCACCCTGATCCTGTGACTCTTACAGTCCCCGAAAGAACTGAACTTTTGGACTCGCACTACATATGATGGGAAAAAGCAGTTGGTCACCCTGAAATGTGATAGTAAGCAGTGTCATATAGGAAGCAATATTTATGTATGTATATTTAACTCTTATATCGTTATGATACATTCTAATTTAGAATAAAATTATATTTCTTAAAGGTAACTATTTCATTTGAATGAGTTCTTCCATAGAATAAATTTATTATAAATTGGGGCTCTGCTTCTCCAAGCGGTGCCTGCATTTGTTCTTTGCAAAAGCCTAAATTACTTCCAGGTAAAACTGAATCTTTTATTTAACATTCGGGGGGTGGGGGGAGATAAATGATAGGTAGGTAGGTAGGTAGGTAGATAGATAATGATACATGTATAGATACATAGATAAATACATAGATACTTAGATAGACATAGACATAGATATGTACACTATTCTGTTCTGCTGCTCTGTGAATTCTCCCAATATCAAATTGCTTTGATTATTTGGTTTACTGACACGTTTGAAAATCTATTTAAGGCTACTGCCCTCTCATTAGATTTTTTCCCCTGTGTATTACGGGCTCTTTCCACATTGTATTCTCATGAATATAGGTATCATAGAATTAACTGTATCATTTCTATATGAAGTCCATTCAGGAATGAGCATATCTGAATTGAGCATTTAGATAATTAGATATCTTAGTGAATTATTATTGTTTTTCTCGGTAAATAATCAGTTTAAGAAAATAATGGTAACGTTAACATTTTTTATACCTCTAATCCTTTCTCTTTCCAAATGTATTGGTCATAATATTCAGAACAATGTTAAGTAATAACAGTGATGTGTGCTTGTCTGGCTTCTGACTTTGAAATGAATGTTCAATGGATTTGCAATTATTGAAATTTTGTGGATTAGTGTTCATTTACATTAAATTATAACCTATTCATAAAATGCCTCTTTGTGTTATTTTACATAATATGTATTATTATTTAGCAAATCACTTCTATAATTTATCAATAATATTTTCCTTAGATATTAGTATTAGCAATTAGATTATTGTATTAGCTAATACTAAACCTTCATCCTATTCCAGAAATAAACACACTTTTTTGTTCCATATTGAAAAGATGACTAGAGTTGAGGCCAATTTTGCATACTTTCCTGTGATGGAAATATATCATTGACACAAAGCTTCTGGATATATTTACAACATTCACTCACTCTTTTTCATAATCTAGACTTCAATTGATTTCTCCCCACAGTAATAAAACCTGAGTGGGACAGCAGGTTGAAGCAAACAGGACACATTAATGATCACAATAAAGCTGAAGGATTTCCCCCTCTCTCTTCCCTAGAAATTTAAAGAAAAGATATTTAGGGTAGAAGAACCAGGGAGGAAAATCTCTCAGAAATGTCCCAGACACCCAGACTGAGCTGGATTAGCACTTGGTATGTTATTTGGTGCGAAACTGAATGGTAAATATCATGGAATCACCTGGTTGCCACGATGTGTGTCTTGTCTGAAATACCAGAGGAAAGGTGGGTATCCTTCATGCCAGTGGTGCTTGAACTGAGTCTCAAGGAGCTAGCAAGTTCAAGAGAGAAAAGGAGATTGCAGAGTGGTTTGGTCCATACGTTTACCACACTTACTGACTGGCTCTCACTCATCAGGCATTCCTTTTCTTCACGTTCCACAAACTCCTGAGTTCTTGAACTGGCCTCTCAATTTCCTCTGCTGCTTCCCCTGTCCTGGGGATGGGCATTTTTTCATTTTAGTCTATACACTTTTACAGCATGACCTTGTTATGACATGTCAGCAAGACAACCACAGACACACAGCCAAAATGTAAATGAGAGGATTGCTTTATTCACTGGCGGGCTGCGGGGGCATACTCTCTTCATATCAACAACCCCAAACATTCTTGCAGTCCGCTTATGAAGACAAAACCACATCCTCTTGATGCCACCTTGGCGTCATTTAGGGAAAATTGATACAGATAGGGGGCATGAGGAATTGTTATAAAGGTCAGGGCAATTATTAATCTCTTTATTTTTATGGTTTTTCTGGGTTTCCCAAGGCTATTATTAATCCATTTATCTTTATGATTCCTCTGGGTTTCAGTCCTTGGAGTTTAGATGAGTCAGGGTGTGTACGTGTATCAACTGCTGGTCAGAATGGAGTTACTTAAATTAAGTAGTCTAGTTCTTGAATTGGCCTCTCAGTTTCCTCTGCTGCTTCCCCTGTCCTGGGGATGGGTATTTTTTCATTTTAATCCAAACATTTTTTTCAGCGTGACCTCATTATGCTTCATATTTTTATTATTCTTACATATTTTTCTTTTTTTTATTTATTTATTTTTGTTACGGATGATTCTCCGTTTTCACCCCATTGACACCCTCCTCTTCTTTCCCTCCCACCCTTTCCCCAGCTTTGTTGTCTATGTCCATTGGTTATGCCTTCATGCATATACATTCTGTGGTTTATCCCTTCCCTCCCCCCCACTTCGGAGGATTGTCAGTCTGTACCTTACTTCTATGACTCTGGGTCTATTTTGTTCATCAGTTTGTTTAGTTCATTATATTCCAGAAATAAGTGAGATCTTGTGGTATTTGTCTTTCTCTGCTTGGCTTGTTTTGCTTAGGATAACACTTTCCAAGTCCCTCCATGTCATCTCAAAGGATAAGGCATCTTTGTTTCTTACAACTGCATAGTACTCCATTGTGTATATGTACCACTGCTTTTTTATCCACTCGTCCACTGATGGACATGTGGACTGTTTCTAGATGTTAGCTATTGTAAACAGTGCTGCTATGAACATGTGGGTACATATATTCTTTATGATTGGTGTTTCAGGCTTTTTAGGGTATATTCCTAGAAGTGGAATCACTGGGTCAAATGGCAATTTAATTTTTACTTTTTGAGGTAATGCCATAGTGTTTTCCATCTTGAATGCACCAGTCTGCATTCCCACCAGCAGTGTACTAGGGTCTCCTTTTCTCTACCCCCTCGCCAGCACTTGTTGTTTGATGATTGGTTGATGGTGGCCATTCTGACAGGTGTGAAGTAATACCTTATTGTTGTTTTAATTTGCATCTCTCTGATGACTAGTGACATTGAACATTTTTTTATGTGTCTCTTGACTATTTGTATGTCCTGTTAAAGAGGTGTCTCTTTAGGTCCTCTGACCATTTTTTAATTGGGTTCTTTGTCTTCCTTTTATTGAGTTGTGTGAGTACACTATATATTTTAGAAATTAACTCCTTATCTGATGTATCATTGGCAATTATGCTCTCCCATATAGTGGGTTCCCTTTCCATTTTGATAGTTGTTTCTTTTGCTGTGCAGAAGCTTTTTAGTTTGCGGTAGTCTTGTGTGTTCATTTTTTTCCTTTGTTTCTGTTGCCTTAGGTGATGTATCATTGAAAATTCTGCAGTGTATGATGTCTGAAATTTTGTTGCCTGCATTTTCTTCTAGGATTTTTATGGAATCACAAGTCACATTTAAGTCTTTTATTCATTTTGAGTTTATTCTTGTGTATAGTGTAAGTTGGTGGTCTAGCTTCATTTTATGTGTGTGTGTGTGTAGTGTCCAATTTTCCCAGCACCATTTTTTTTTCGATTTAAATTAAGTTTTCATTGAATTTGTTGGGGTTACACTGGTTAACAAAATTTATACAGGTTTCAGGTGCACAATTCTACAACACATCATTTGCACATCACTCCCTATCTATGAGTCAGTCTCTATTTTTATTGTTAGTTCATTTTGTTCATTAGAGTCCGTATACAAGTGAAATCATATGGTAGTTGTCTTTCTCTGATTGGATTTTGTTGTGGCATTTTTATTTTATTTTTTATTTATTTTAATTTTTTATTAATTTATTTTTGTTACAGATGTTTCTCCTTTTTTTCCCCACATTGACACCCTTCTCCCCATTCCCCCCACCCATACCTGGCTTTGTTGTCCATGACCATTGGTTATGCATACATGCATATAAGTTCTGTGGTTTATCTCTTCCCTCCCCTCACCACCCCCTCTTCTGAGGTTTGTCAGTCTGTACCATACTTACACGTCTCTGGGTCTACCTAATTTTTCAGACTGTTATGTTCCAACACCATTTATTAAAGAGGCTGTCTTGACTCCACTGTATGCTCTTGCCAACTTTGTCAAATATTAATTGAGCATATTGTTTTGGTTCAATTTCTGGTTTCTCTATTCTTTTCCATTGATCTATGTGCCTGTTCTAGTGCCAGTACCAGGCTGTTTTGATTACAGTGGCTTTGTAGTATAACCTGATGTCTGGTAATGTGATCCTTCCTACTTTGTTCTTTTTTTTTTTTTCAAGATTGCTGTGGCTATTTGGGGCCTTTTTTGTTTTTTGGTTCCATATAAACTTTTGGAGTATTTGCTCTAGTTCTGTGAAGTATATCATTGACATTTTGGTGGGGATTGCATTGAATCTATAGATTCTTTGGGTAGTATGGACATTTTAATGATGTTAATTTTCCAATTCATGAACAAGGTATATGCTTCCACTTTTTTATGTCTTCCTCTATTTCTTTTTTCA